ATACTGGAGCTTGGTTGGGGTGGTGGGATGGCTCGCGGTGGGTGCCGGAAAATTTCCCTTATTTTCAAATCCAAAACTTCACAGGTATGGGATATCCCCTACTAAATTAGAAGATTTACGGAACCTTAACAGATAACAGATTACGCTAATATAGTGGATGAAGTTGGCACAGGCAAAATTAACCATGAACTGCATATTAATCGTAAATTCCGTTCCCTTAATGGTGTTTCATCCAACGTTATGGAATTAGAGAAAAGGGCTTCTTTTTAGGGTGAAGCGAGGTAATTTTATTTAGATACAACACCGGAGTGCGATTCTTCCTTTAAATCAAGTAAACGTTAACAAAGTGGCGCCTTTCTACTCCCACCAGGAACTGAGCCATACCAGAGCTGTAACCGTACTGACCCGCCGAAATGACAACATCCACGCATCAGTGCTGCATGAGTGTGTGTCTGTGTTCTGGCAGTCTTAGTGGCTGAATCTAACTTCCCAGCAAACAAGGTTACAGCCAGAGGATTGCCTAGTCCAGGGTTATTCAAATCTTGGTCCTCGAGGTCTGAGCACTGATGGTTTTCCAACCTTCCTTTACCTGTCAATCTGGTGTGAAGCCTCTGACCAATCAGAATCAGTAATTATTAAACTAACTACCTGGGAGAACTGAAAACAAGGCCTGGATTTGGAATCGAGGTCCAGATTTGAAGAACCCTGGCCTAGTTCTTCTATGCTTAGCACTTACTGTTGCAAGTGATCCTGGAGGAGTGCAGAGAGGAAGGCCTGCAGCACGAGATCTTGCTCTACAGCCACCAGGTAGTCGGGGTAAGCCTGGTAGGCTAGAGCACTGATGTTGGCAACTAGTACTCCCAGTCGCTCCACTCTGCTTTGCCACCTGATGCCTAACAGCTGACAGGCCTCTGTTTCCCTTCTACTTCTCCAAAACCGCAGCTTCAGTGCCTCTTTCAACTCTGCTAAAGAGAAGCACTGAAATGTCTAGGAGGGCCTGGAGAACTGCGATTTGAGTGCCAAACCTAGGTGGACAGCCACTGTCTGTTCGTCCTAGGCATTGCTCTGGTCAGTCCAGGCATTGCCCCGGGCAGATGGTCCTCGAACAGCTCCCATGGCTGGTCTCTGCTGTACTTGGGAGCCAGACAGGCACTACCAATGGGGTAGAGAGCAAGGCTCCTCTCAGCAATGGCCCTTCGGCTTTGTCTGACCTCCGTCATGCACTTGGTCGTGTGATATTAGCATACAATAATATATTGGTATTGGTCAAAATTTCCACATCAATGTCCCCCACAACAATGACCTGTGTTGAATTTACTAATTGGCCCAAGACCACAGGTGAAAGCAGTCAATCAGGTAGCGCTTACTATATGGTCTGAGATTCATATTTCTTTGTATTCTGTTAATAATGTAATTAAATTCCTGGTAGGCTTCCTTCTTCAGCTTGACAGCCCCCCTCACCTCTGGTGTCCACCATCGGGTATGGGGGTTTCCGCCACGACTGGCAACGACCACCCTGCAGCCACAGCTCGGTGTGGCCACTTCCATGATGGAGGTCTGGAACAACGTCCACTCAGACTCAATGTTCCCAACCTCCCCCGCAGTTGAAGTTCTGCCGGAGGTGCGAGTTGAAGATCTGGCGAACAGAAGCCTCTACTCCACTAATAGACACCATTAATGCTCGAAAATGGTGTTCGTTTTGGTCAAACCATGCATCGCACAGAAGTCCAACAACAGAACACCACTCGGGTTCAGATCATGGAGTCCGTTCCTCCCAATCACCCCCCTCCAGGCCACACTGTTGTTGCCCACATGAGTGATCCCCTTGTGGTGCGCTAACCAGCACATCTCTCAGGGAGTCCAAGAAGGCTGGGTACTCCGGACTATCATTCGGCGCATAGGTGCAAACGACAGTCAGATACCTCTCCCTGACTCAAAGGCGCAGAGAGACAGTCCTCTCGTTCACTGGGGTAAACTCTGATGTTAATGCACCAAGCTGTGGGGCCACCAGTAGCCCTACTCCAGCCCAGCGTCGCTCACCCGCTGCAACTCCAGAATAAAAGAGTATCCAGTCCCTCTCCAGGAGATTGGTTCCAGAGCCCACGTCAAGTGTTGAGGTGAGCCTGACTATATCTAGCCGATATCTCTCAACCTCACACACAAGCTCAGGCTCCTTCCCCACGAGAGAGGTGACATTCCATATCCTGAAAGCCAGTTTAGTCAGCCAGGGATCGGTCCGTCATGGTCTCCCTTGGCTGCCACCCGATCCACATATGAAACATTTAGCTGTAATAATCCATGCTTCAATTTTGTTTCCCTTTTCTTATGTATGCAGGGCTGACACCATGCCAGTGCAGTTGAATAGTTCAAGGTGTGCTCCTCCAAAGTCTTCTTCGTTATAATGTCTTATTCTCATTTTAAATACGGTCATCTTCATTTCTTCACAACATGTTCTATATTAAGCCTACGTTATGTTTTAAATTGGGACTTGAAGAAGACTGTACTTTCAAAAAAGTAACAAAAATTACTAAAGTCAAACTCGCTAAGTGAAAATACCGAAAGAGGTGGTTCTACTGATACATTGCTCCAATTTGTGTATAGAAAATTGGTATTGTAAACACACCTCCCTAATACTAGGGGTCGCTGACGAACAGCATTAGCCATACGCAAGGTGGCGACTTGACTGAGGGGGGCGCCATTGCCATAGTATCCGTCCGTAAGCGTTTGAAATGATGCAGTTAGTGAAATTCTCCCTTGGTGTCACTTCGAGGCGGAGGCGTCAATATGTGTACGATCGCAGCTCGAATCTTGCCTGTAATATTATCATCACTATTTGCTTCCGAAACACTAAAGACACGCAAATTGTGCGCCTGAAAGCCGGCCCGCTGGATATTTAAAGGGCATGATCGGACTGCTGGCTTTTTCCGCGACCCAAGCCCCCGAAAAGCAATAAGCGAACCAGAAGCAAGACAAAAAGTGCTCATACTGCGGCGAGCCTAAGGACGGCATCCGGCCTCGGTAGGAGGGCTGAGATCGGGGACTCGGCACGTCGTTTCTGGTAAGTAGCCTACCTTTCCGGGTTTATCCCGCGAGATCGTCTAGAACCATTACACAAGGCTGCCGGGGAGGGATGAAACTGTCCGCACGCCGACCCGATCCGGCGGAACAAGAAAAGCATCCCCGTTTGCGGCAATCGGCGGCTCAGCTTCTCCGGGCATCCAAGTCTTTATGGGAGATATAAACCTTGGTGCCACACGTTTGGAGACGGGCGGCCGGTGTCTCCGCCAATACCGTCTGTCAGCGCCAGCCATCTGGAAATACACATTTCCTACCGATGTTTGGAAAACTAGTTAAGTTAAAAACAGCATAGTGACTAGCTAATTAGTCGGGGATATGACCTCGGTGTAGTTTGACCCGTCAGTAAATAGCGTATGGATTAAAAGCCGGGGTGGAAAGTGGTGAATACTGTAACATTGCGAGTATATGATATAGACACTGCAGCTGTTTTGATGACTGATTGAACACCTCATGATAAAGGCATCCCTCTTTCTTAGGTTCTTAACTAAGCCTTATACATTTCGTTTTTCCCCGGTTGTAACGTAGCCGTGGGAAGCCGGATGTTTGGACACCAAGCCGCCCAAAGCAGCCTGACATCGGGCGATCTTTAAAGGAGAGACCCGGTGGGTGGGGGTAGGTACATTGTACTGGGCCCTGTCCGATCGCGGTTTCGGTGTTTTGACCGGCATTTGTATACAAGAAGAAACGCAACAATCGCCAATCGCGTCGAAATGGGGAGGCGCGCCGTGGCCCCCGATCGGCACAATGACTGGAAGCAGATCGCCGTTTTCGGCATCAGCCTCCCAGAGCCGGGGGGGTTATGTCTGGACATTTTCATTCTCGGATATTTCCGGTTTTATTATGAGCACTCACGCTTAACATGTTCAGTTGTCTTCAGTCGGCTCTAGATGATTTAAAACCGTAAGGTATGAAGCATTTGCTTATGCGCTTTCATCGTGTATGTGTAAACCGTCATGGTGAAGGTTATTTAAATTACTTAGGCTACGTTTGTATTACCAGCTGAGTTAATGGTGACATACCTGACATAAAGTGTATTAAGCACAAAAACATCACAGGGACACTTGCATGTGCTAGCTAGCTAGCTCTCTCTCTCTCTCTCTCTCTCTCTCTCTCTATGTATATATATATATATATATATATATGTATATATATATATGTATATATGTATATGTATAACGTGTGTGTATCCTATCTATCTATCTATATATCTATCTATATATCTATCTATATATCTATCTATATATATATATATATATATATATAAACACACACATATATAATCTTTGTTTTTATTAATCTGACTCAACAGATATATCTTCACCCTGCATACTTGTTCTCTTATTGATTTGAATTTCTTTTTTCTGTAGTTCTATTAATGTTTATATAAATTATATTCAATTAGCAGAAGGTCAGGGGTGAGATTTGAAAACTCAGATCACATCTGTCACATCTGTCACTGACAAGCATGGTGTGGAAAGCTGTTAACCCCATGAGACGGGTGTCCCCGCAAGACGCTCCGGCTCCTGCCAGCTGACCTTGCGAGTCCTGCATGGTCTGATAGCGAAGACCACTCCATCTCTGTCTGGCAGACCTCGTGTTAGCAGGCCTCTAAAGGGAGCCGGTTAGTCTTTTGGGTGTTTTTATAGAGGCTGCATGTAACCAAACAAAGCAGCTCCTTGTGTGAGCATTTTAATCCAGCAGAATAGGAACTGGCCACGTCCCAAGTTGGGCCAGCTCTCCTGAAGACCTCAGGTTAATTTTCCCCATTAACAAAGCCATAAGTTCTTTATGTAGAGCGGTCCCTTGAACATGTGATCCTAGCCGTAGGGCTCTTTATGCCTTTTGTAACAGTGTGATAATGTAATTGCCCATTATGACCTCATGGTTTGTGATCAGCCTGGACAGTGCACACAGAGGGGCGGGCATGGGGTCCGTCAGTAGTCCTGTCCCGGCGGGGACCTAAGCAGGCCGTACCAGCCCCGTCGCCTAGGGTGACCCGTATCCCACATTGTCCCCACTGTTCTCTTTCTCATCTGTGTCTTTGCCCCCCTGCCCCTAGGGGTGAGAATCACCCCACATGGAATGTGGCAGCTTTGTCTGAGCCCACTTTTATCATGTAAATGAAGGAGGGGACAGTTTTTAGGAGGATTCCGCTCCCACCCCTCCCTGTCTGGGCCTGTCGGGGGCCAGGGGGGCTGCCATGCCACTGTCACCTCTGATGTCCCATGTAGGTGAGGTTTGGGAGGGGGGGAAGTTGGTGGTCATTACTTTTACTGACAGCTTTGGAATGAGAAGTGTAACAGAGCCCCTGTGCACATGCTGCTGTTGCTAAAAGACTTATGATTGGTTGTTCTCGAGCCCTCTGCGCCGATCAGTTACAAACAGAAAGGCGCTGATGCTTGGCGGCAGGGTGGTGAGCAGGAAGCTGGCGTCACTGCTGATGCATTGGCAGGCTGGGTGGAGGCCTGAGGTCACAGAATGCTAAGGCTAGACTAGTGCCCAACTTCTGCTCATTTGCAAAGGACCTTTTGCTGGTATGATATGGCTGTTTTAATGGGATCCAGGCTCGCTCGGTGGAGATGGTGTTGGGGGAGGTAGCTGTTTGGAATCTTTTGGAAGCTTATCTGTACTCTGCAGGCTGGTAAGTCCCCCCCCCCCCTTCTGAGCTTTGGCAGAGTGGTTCAAACACAGGGTGTGGTGTATGGGGTAGCTGAGGGCGCTGGTGTGCCAAGGGATTGAGAACAGCCTCATAGCTCCCGCTTCGCAGACTGAATCTGGGTCCCCTGGAGGAACACACTGGTGACTGGTCCTCAGAGTGAGCTGGGCTGTATGCACTTCCATTGTGGGGTCTCCGTTACCCCTTCTGTCTACCTGTGACTCACTACCGCCTCTTCATGCTATTAGTTTCACTTCACGCGTTTATTTTGCCGCTTGTTAAGCAAGATGGCCGCCAACATGCAGTTGCCATTGACGACAGGAGCTAGACAGCAGGAACGGCTGGTTGCACTCAGCGCAGAGCAGCGGCTTGTGTAACCACGCTGGGGGTAAATCCGTTCACGTTGTGAAACGCTGGGGAGGGCTTGGTGGAAGTCATATGGGTGTGGAGTTTCTCTATGTCTGTGAGGGGTGGAGGGGCACCAGTGGTCCTTCTGGCATGCTGAGCAGCTGGCCCATTTGCCCAAAGTGAGGTTCTATATTCAGGGGTCCCGTCCCCCTAGCAGAACGTGGCTGGTGTGGGTAGTGACAGCTACATAAGCCACACCCCGTTTGGCTAGTGGAGTTGGACAAGGGAGGGGGCTGCACCCCATAATGGAGTCTCGACGAGCGATGCCAAGAGGAGACGCTGTCACCCTCCCACCATCATTCTACTGCATAGGTGTAGCAGAAGGTAGAAGCAGGTGTGCCAGACTGAGGGATGCTGGGAACAGGTGGGCTGTCTGGGTATGCTGGGGGCAGGGCCCGTCCCTATCATTGGTCATTTGGAGCTGTCACTCACAAATCTCCCCCAGCCTTGAGAGAGATGGGCAGATGCTTCCTGTCACCTGATTGCCTGCTGGAGGTACAGAGAGCCAGCTGGGATGAATCAGCAGGATATCTGGAAACACAGGGAGATGTTTTGCTGCCTGATTAGCTTCATCTAAATGTTTGGATGTCCTTCGGTTGATCCCATTGGAACGGGCATCCCAGCAGCTTTTGAGGCTCAGTGTGTTTTTCATGTGGGATGCAGCTCCAGGTGGAAAATTAGGTGTGTTTTCCTCTGATGATGGGTTTCTCACACTCCTTAGCCAGCATGAGTCTGCTGTCCAGACTGTCCAGAAAATGGTATCCTAGGAAGCCCAGATTGAAAGACAGAGTATTTCCTCTTCATTTACATGAGGGTGTACACGGTTTGTCACATATAGTTTAGTGTCCCATGCTGAGTCGTGTTTATTTAGCAGGCTTCTGTCTGCAGAGATGACAGCAGTGAAATGGACATAACAGAATAGTGATACTCTCCCCACAGGGATGAATGAATTATCTTGCTGTCCATGAGATACACACACAGGTGAGAGTTTGCTTTGGGGTCACAGCACAGTGTTGGCCAGCATCCAGCAGGCATCAAGCAATTGGTGATAAAGGACCAATTTATGGCATTAGTCTGCTGGCTGTAGGATTGGAGCCAGTGACCTTCTGATTATGAGCATTGTGATCTAACCTGCTGAACCACACACTAGATGATGTCATATGATGCCTAAGTCCCTCTTTTTTTTCTTTTTTTAGACCTTTAGTTTCAGTTTGAATATGCACATCGTCATTCTTTCAGTTGCTGTAGTGGACTGTGCCCAGGCTACTGTCAGCTAACCCAAACAGCCCCATCAATGTCCCCCACTTTCGCCTACCTGGTCTTGAACTGATCTCCAGGAACAGCCAGGAATTGAGTGTCCCTCTTCTGCAGCTATTTGGTGCCCATATCTGTTTTAAATCTCTCTACCCAGTTGGACAAATGTGGGGTGATGTCACTGCTTGTTTTTGCTTTTTGCCTTGTGGCCTTGAAGGGCTCCATTGGTGTGGTCTGTTTGCTGGGACTGGCATTCCTCATCTTGGAATTCGGCCTTGGATTACCCACTCGGGTTGGGAATGAAAACGGCAATTGTCTCTCTCTCCCCCATCCCCCCCCCCAGCCGCTCTGGCGGAGGCGTTCCCCATGAATGGGGAGCGTGGCATTCCCACTGGAATTCCCGGTGCTATAAATGGTCCAGAGGGCATTAATAATCATTCACGTTATCTCAGCCTCCTTGTTCTCACTGCCCTGGGAGGTAATGGGATGTTACTGTCTTATCCTTGTTGGGTGGACGCTTTACCATCTCCAACTACTTGGGGTGCCCTTACTTCTGTGATGGCAGGAAGTTCGGCTCCTATTGGGGTGGGGGGAGGAGGCGTGGTGATATTTGAGGAATAGAGGCTGACGTTTGCTGCGTCAATCCACCGCACCCTGCACTG